GCGCATGCCTTTAATCCCAGCACTCGGGAGGCAGAGGCAGGCGGATCTCTGTGAGTTCAAGACCAGCCTGGTCTACATAGTGAGTTCCAGGACAGCTGGGGCTACAGGGAGACCCTGTCTCAAAAAGACCAAAATAAATAAATATAAATAAATAAATAAATAAATAAATAAAATATTAAAAAATTAAAACTAAAAATAAAAGCATTGATAGAGCACTTGAACTTAACATCTGTCCTCACCTAATCTCTAATCATTCCCACTAGGGCCAGACAAACCTGAAAACCCACTGCACAACCTCCCTGAGACTGTTCCCCCAAGTTGGGGAGACATGTGGAATGACAACAAATAACCAGAGAAAAAAGAAAAAAACAACAGGGCCCAAAACTCAGGAAGAGAAAACATTATCAAGTCTAGAATATTATATTAAACTGCATTGGGCCAGATGTGGTGGCAACAGAGGCAGGTAGATCCCTGTGAGTTTGAGGCCAGCCTGGTCTACATAGTAAGTTTCAGAGCAGCTGGAACTACAGGAAGATCCTGTCTCAAAAACAAAACAAACAAACAAACAAAAAAACTGCATTGGGGTCCATCCTAAGGTTCATGTCCAGGAGTCACGGACTTCACCCACACCGGACACATTGTCCAGCATGTGATGCATTTTTTAAATTTTCAGTGGTATCAGGGAAGGAACACAGGGTCTCACAGATACTAGACAAGCACTGTACTGCACTGGGCTACACCCTAGGCACTGTGCACTGTTTTGTAAGTCTAAGCTATTAATATCCCGAGTTCCTTCCAACAGATAGCTGCAAAGAGCTGTACACACCAAAGAACTCATTTTGGATTTGACTGGAAGAACAAGGATGTGTCCACGGGCAAAGTTCCTGGAGGCAGACCTCAGTGGAGACTTTCAATCACTCTAAAGCCATCCAGTCTCTCCATTTCCTCATGTGCACTCTAAGCAGTGAATATGCTGTCATTCATGAAGGCAGAATGCAGACCACACCTATGAAACCACATGACTAGTGAAGCTGGGTACACTTCACACAGTACCTTCCCAGCTCTCTCCATCACTGCTCCACCGTGATCCTCAGGTTCAGTCCTCCCCCTGGCCTTCCTGAACCCCAGCCAGGCCTGAGCCAACAAGTCTCACAGCCACTCCCAGACTCACAGCAAAGCCAGAGAAAGGTTTAGGAAACAGGACAGACTAGTTCTACCCTTCCTCACCCATTCCCAACCTCTGAATTGCCCTGGGGCCAGACACCCCACCCACTCACTCACCAGCACCCTCTGCTCCTTGGGTTACCTTCCCTACTTCCCTCAAATTCAGACTTAAGCTCCCCTCCCCCAAACATCTTCTACCAACTAAATATAAGTCAGCACAGGGTGCTAGTGAAGGAATATACAAGTAGGTAATAGCCAGACGGGTTTAAAATGCAACTGTGATACTAGTCATGGTAGCCCATGCCTGTAGTCTTAGCACTCTAGAGACTGGGGCAGAAGAATGAGTTGAAGCCAACCTTGACTACACTGGAAGATCTTGTCTAAAAAAGATAGAGCCAGGCATGGTGGCCCACACTTTTAGTCCCAGCACTCGGGAGGCAGAGGCAGGCAGACGCAAGGTCAGCCTGGTCTACATAGTGAGTTTTAGGCCAGCTGGGGCTACAGGAAGGCCCTCTCTCAAAAAGACCAAAAAATAAAAATAAAAAGATAAACAGACCAATACCCTGACCCATAATTTGTAGCCATCAGTCCCAGAACTCAAGAGTATAGTAATCTGCCCAGAATAGTGAGGAATAACAGTCAGCTTCCCTCAGTTTTAACCCCACTTGCAACTTAAGAACAATCAGAAAAAGGCAAATAAGCTCCCTAACCAATCACAGCATGTCTGAAAATAGCTGGGCATTCCTGAAGCCTTCCCTTATACAGGCTTTTCCTTGCTAGCTTTGGGCTCTCCCCCAAACTCAAGGTGATGGTGGCTGACTCCCTTGCTACAGCCAGCTCTCATTAACAGCCTTCGGTTCCTTGTTGCCACTTGGGTGGTCTCTGTTTATTCCCATACCACATTCCTAACTCAAGCCATAACCCCTCAGTCTAATACACAGTCACATTCAACACAGTACAAGTGTGCAACAGAGGCATGGGCATGCCACTGTTGGTGCTGAAAAGGGAAGTGGACAACACTCACGCTGGACAGACTTCCTAGAAGCAAGAGCAACCAGCCTGGTTTTGAAATATGAATGGTACACATTAAGTAAACAGTTGTGGGAGAAGGAAACAGCAGTTCTCCATTCTTCTCCTTCCCGGTCTAAGACCAAGTTCTCCCACTTGCAACCAAACTTTACAGGGGCTCTTAAATATCTGGTTCATTCTTGTATATACTCTCTCCCTACTGAATAATGACTATTGGTCTAAAATGTGACTAGGTAGGACTGACTCTTCTCCCAGTACCTGGCCAGCCCAATTGAAGAGTACCCCCCTTCCATTCTAACTTTTTTTTTGGTCTTTTTGAGACAGGGTCTCCCTGTAGCCCCAGCTAGCCTGGATTCACTATGGAATTTGCCCAGCGGCACATGCCTTTAATCCCAGCACTCGGGAGGCAGAGGCAGGCAGATCCTCTCAGTGAGTTCAAGGCCAGCCTGGTCTACATAGTGAGTTCCAGGCCAGCTGGGGCTACAGGGAGACCCTGTCTCAAAAATAGACCAAAAAAAAAAAAACCACAAAAAAAAAAAAAAAGGCATGCGCCACCACACCTGGACCCTTCTAACTTCTTGAATGAGTACTTTATATTAGCAAGAGTCATCAAATCCAAAAGCTTTTTCTCAGTCATATTCTGTGACCTCTCCACCTCTAGTTTCCTCAAAGCCGTCCTAGCCTAGGCTTCCTGCCCATTCATTACTGCTACTCTCTACCTGTATCTACCATCTAAACTTGGTTTGCCCCAAGAACTTGTCCTTGAGGAGGGCATGACCATGACAGCGCACAACTGTTGTAATCCTAGCACTTTTGAGTCTGAGGCAGGAGGATCATTTTTTTCCCTTATATTTTCTGCTTTTAGGAAAGGAGTCTTGTAGAACAGGATTCTCTAAGATTGTAGATGAAAGACTGTCCTAAGGACAGTACAATCCACCAAGAAGGCAGCTCTGACTCCATTCCCCCAAATCACCTCACACCTTCAAGAGGTTGCAAATGGGCTGAGGGCCTGACTCAGTGGTAAAGTACAAGCTTAGCCTGAGTTTAATTCCCAAAGGAGGAAAAAGATGAAGAAATTTTAGGTGCTTTGGAGTGGCTACTAGCTCTGTTCAGCCACCTTAGCCTAATAATTCAATAATTCAATTAGCCTAATCACACCTGGCACTCCTAGGTTTGAGTCTTCACACAAAGCTCATGGGAGATCAAGTCATGGAAGGAAGAATGCTTACTGCAGTACTGAATGTTGCAAACATGTCCATTCCAGCAGAGTGAGTCATCAAAAGAAGCACCCACCACTGATGGTAAAAGAGGCAAAGAGTATTTGGACAGAAAGCAATCTGGACCACAGAGTCCAGTCTTATCCCCTCACTTGCCCTCCTCTTCCATTCATGTGTTCTTTGTTGTTGTTTGGGTGGTTGTTGTTGTTTTGCTTGTTTGTCTGTCTGTTTCAGCCAAGGTCTCACTCTGTAGCACTGGTCTCAAACTCATGGCAATCCTCCTGCCTCAGTTGTCTTCCAAATTCTAGGAACATAGGCATGAACCTATGTTAGCCCAATGCTGGGTTTTAGTAAGGAAAATGGCAGTGGGAGACAGGATGTTCTTATTCAGACTTTTCATATCACTCCTAGCTCAGAGACCTGCAATGACTTCCAAATGGATTCCCACCAACCAGGAACCGCTAAATCAAAAGCCTTGGTCTGCCAACCCAGATAAAACCACCTCTGGTGAAATTCGGTCTGTTGTCCCATCTCCAATTCCTTCTTCCTTCCACCTTCTGTATGTTGTTTTGTTCATGTTGTCCTGTCTGGTTGGGGTGTGTGTGTGTGTGTGTGTGTGTGTGTGTGTGTGTGTGTGTAGGCTCTCACCCTGTAGATCAGGCTGACCTGGATGTCACTATGTAGTTCAGGCTGACCTCAAACTCATGGCAATCCTCCTGTCTCAGTCTCCCAATTCATACATTTTACACACATTTGTGGAGCCTGGTCTGTACCCTCCACTATGGAATAAGTGGCCTTTCCCTCATCTTCCTAGGTCCAAGTATCATCCTTTCTTGACAGTTCATCTTAACACTTCAGGCATAAGGCCTCCCCAGCTTGACATAGTTGTTTCCTCTTCTGACCACTTACACCTTCTCTGAGCGCTTATGTCATTCTGCTCCGGCTACCCGGCCACCGGACAACTTCTCAGAGCTCTTACGTCAATAATTATGAGTGTACCATCACCTCCCTTTCTTATCTGAGTCCTCTGTGTCAGGTAAGTTCAACCGTGCTCAGAGTTGCATTTTCCAACTATTTACTTGTCTGCCTCCTTCGGATTGCGCACTTCTGGAGGGCCAGCATCGCTGGTCCGCATCATACACAGGGAAGCTACTAAAGGGCCTTCTGTTCAATGAATGAACAAACCAACTCTATATAAACTTCCTCACACTTCCTTCTCACCACACTTAACATCCAGTTTTTCGAGAAGGTTAAAAAAAAAAAAAAAAATGGAAGAAAATTACTTCAGGTCAAGAATTCGTCCTGCAAAAGCCACAGCAGGGCCAGACATGGGTCAAGGAGCGGAACGCCCTCCAGCTCCCCGGCGGGGCGCAGCTCCCCCGCCAGCGCCCAACCCCACCTCACCACGCGCTGGGACCCGGGCTGTGAGCTCGGTAGGACCCGCGTTCTCCCTGTCCCGGGGCGGGAAGCCAGTCGTGCATCCCGGGCTCCGCCTCCGCGCTCCCTCCGCGGCGCCGCGGGCCCCATCTGGCTCCGGGCCCCGCGCCCTGGGGGCCCAGCCGGGGCCCTCGGGCAGTCTCGGGCACTCACCGACGCCACTCGGCGCTCCGCGCGCACGGCCCGCCAGGCCTAGAAGGAGCCCGAGCCTCAGCAGGAGCCGCAGCGGGCCCCCAGGCCGGCGGTGCACACAGCGGAGCCCCCGGCCCATGCCGCCGCTCCCTCCCTTCGCCCAAGACTCCCCGGAGGCCCCGGAGGCGCCGAGATAAGGCGGCGGGCTGCGCGGGGAGGGGGCGGCGCAGCGGCTTCCGGCGCCGGGCACAGAGGGCGCGGGGTCCGCGACGCCCTTGGAACGCGTTTGGCCTTTGAGCGCCCGATGCACCTGCTGCGATACTTTCGGAACTACTTTCGGAAGCCGCTACTTTCGGAACAGGGACAGACTTTGGCTAAAGCCACCGCGGAAAGAAAAGACCTGTGCTAGGGAGGAAATGTCGCGGTGCGGTGTGACTCGTGGGGGCTTCGGGACGCACCCCTAGGAAGGTCAAAGGGGAGAGGAGACGGCCAGGTGGAAAAGGACTCTTCCTGGAAGGAACAGAGAGCTGGGAAGAGGTGGCTGCGGCTCTGCTGCGAGGAGAGAGGGCGGGAAGTTGTGGGCTAGCCCACCCAGGTGACAAAACAAGAGCGTGCAGTGATGGAGGGAGGATTGCTTGGAGGACACTTAGCTTGGGACGTGAGGAAGTAGACCGCTTAAAGGATGTGACTGGGGGAAACTCAAACAGGGAGAAGGCATGGTCGAAGGGACCATGCTCTAGAAAGGAGGCGAGGGACCGCGGTGGGTTGGGGCCAGCTGGGTGAGAAATACCTTTTACAATAGAGTTAAATGAATCTTCTCTAAACCAAGGGAAGGAGACTAGTCTGGAGGCCCTTTATCTTTATTGAGGAAGGCTGTCTGCTCTGTGAGATTAGGATCAGCAGGGGAGGAGGAATCCTGGAAATGGATGACTAGTGGGGGAGGGGGAAATACGTGTTCTGTAGTGTGGAGAGAAGTGGAAAATGGTTGTCCAGAGGTGGAGATCACCGGAACTTAAGACTAGTGTAATGTTAGAGAAGAGAAATTACAAGTGTCACTTCGATTTCTGGTTTGTGCAGCTGGGTGAACAGTGGTGGGAACCATAGCGTTAACAACCACAAAGGAAGAAGTAGGATCCGGTGTGAAGGCTCATTTGAGCTTGTGTCTGTGGGGCTGTCCAGGCTCAGGGGCACCCTCTACTACACCCCGTATCTTCACTTGCTTTCTTTACTGTGAACTTCCCTAAATCTAACCACAAGCAAACACACCCATATAAGGGCTGAACTTGTGCAGCGTTAGGAAGAAGCCGTTAAAAATAAACTTCCTAGACTTTTGTAATAAGCTTCTTGCAGATTATTTTTGTTCAACAAAGAGAAGAGCTTGCTTTGGGAAATAGTAGGTGGGTAGTGTGGGTACTGAAGTCTCTGATATTTAGGCAAATTTTTGGTGAACCCAGCTCTGACCTTGCTTCAACAAATCCATCATTGAAGATATTTTTAAACAGTGCAGTGGGTGGTTGGTGCAGGCCTTTAGTACCAGTACTCGGGAAGCAAAGGCAGGCGGATATCTGTGAGTTCAAGACCAACCTGGTCTCCATAGTGAGTTCCAGGACAAGAAAGAAAGAGAGAGAGAGAGAGGGAGGGAGGGAGGAAAGGAAGGAAGGAAGGAAGGAAGGAAGGAAGGAAGGAAGGAAGGAAGGAAGGAAGGAAGGAAGGAAGGAAGGAAGGAAGGAAGGAAGGAAGGAAGGAAGGAAGGAAGGAAGGAAGGAAGGAAGGAAGGAAGGAAGGAAGGAAGGAAGGAAGGAAGGAAGGAAGGAAGGAAGGAAGGAAGGAAGGAAGGAAGGAAGGAAGGAAGGAAGGAAGGAAGGAAGGAAGGAAGGAAGGAAGGAAGGAAGGAAGGAAGGAAGGAAGGAAGGAAGGAAGGAAGGAAGGAAGGAAGGAAGGAAGGAAGGAAGGAAGGAAGGAAGGAAGGAAGGAAGGAAAAGATTTTTAAAGTCTATACCTCCACCCCCATGCCCTTGTGCAAAATAAATATTGTGTAGGTATACATGTTTTAGAATTTCTGTGATGTCAGGATAAAACTGTCCAATACTTGGAAATAGCAAAAGAAATTACTGGGTATCATTTTAGTGGGTTGTTGAGTTAGGTACTGGCTAGCCCATTTTCAGGGGATTGTCCAATTCTAAAGTGTACCTGTCATGGACGAGGCTATTTTTGTTAACTAATTGACCCTGGTGACAGTGTTACCAATCAGAGCTGGCTGGGGTCCTTCCACCTGCATAGAAAAATGAATAGGAGAGGAGAGGCTCTTTCTAGTGTTGGTACTCACCTCTCCCCAGGCACTTGACCACCCAAGGCCTATAGGCTGGACTTAGGGACCCAGAGGCACCTAGCTCCAAACTCTGATAACAAGGGGCCTATTGCTTCATGCTTTAGAAGCCAGAGACATGACTAGGCATTCAGGTTGGAGGCTGATTGCTTTGGGCTTTAACCACCAGCAGCCACCAACCAGCATTTTGCAGCTGTTTAATCCTCCATTTCCAGCAGCAGTAAGAGGCAGCAGAAAGCAGAGCCAGTTAGCACCAGCCCTGAGGTTTAAACCCATATCTCCTGCAGTGGCTGTCACAGCTCTGGGGCCCAAAAGCCATTAAACACTTGGCAGCTCCCTGGACACTTTTAAGGACTGAATCCCACAGGTTCTTGTCTTCTGCTCTTCAAGGCCCTCTTCATTTCCTTTGTCTCTTCTCCCTGCCCCTGTCACTCTCTGGAACTTTCCAACCACTTTATCGCTTCTAACATCTTTTGTGTTTTGAGTTCACCCCAATCCACTAATTATAAAGATCTGAAGTAACCAGGGGCAGGGGTGTCACTCAGTTGGCAGAGTGCTTGCCTAGCATGCATGGAGCCCTGGGTTTGATGCCGAGCACTCCAGAGGTAGAGACAGGAGGATCTCTAGTTCAAGCTATATAACAAGTTTAATGCCAATGTGCATTAGAATCTCCAGCACACACTAAAAAACTCAGCTACACGTGTCTGTAACCCCAGCATTTGTAGGCAGAAGCATGCAGATGCTAGGACCTGGCTGGCCAACCAGCCAAAACAGTGAGCCTCCGTTCACTGAGAGCCCCTCTCTGCAAGCACCTGGCCTCTGCATAGGTGTACCAGCACTTACACCCACCCAATTCCATGCACCATGTATACATACCACTACACACTCACAGAAAGTAATCAAGGTACTGACAATCAAGAAGACTTAATGTCAGGACTGGAAAGATGGCTCAGTGGTTAAGAGCACTAGCTGCTCTTGCAGATGACCTTTGTTTAATTCCTAGCACCCACATGGTGGCTAACAACCATCTGTAACTCCAGTTCCAAGGGAATCCAGTGCCCTCTTCTGACTTCCTTGGGCATTGCAGGACATGTGTATACTTACATACATGCAGGCAATATACTCATACACATAAAATAAAAATAATAAAATATTTTTTAAACTCTTAGAAAATGAGATTCAATAAATTTATGAGTGGATTGCTAAGTTAGAGGAGGTTCTAGGAGGGAGGTATATCTAAAGAGGTCATGGAAGTTCTACTCCCAGCCCCAAGCCTGGCCCGACATAGCTCACCTGGGTATTGCTTGTATTCTTTATGCTATCCCTCACAGTAAATATAATTAAAATATTCTGAGTTCTGTTGAGAAAATAAAAAGAAACTAGGCGCCATGAGTGCTCAGGGGCCCACAGCCCACTTGTTAAAACTTAACAAAAACCAGAACCAGCCTTATCAAAAGGCTGCAGGACAGGCAGGCACCGGTCAAGCTTCACAGATTAAGCCATAAACAAGTTTTACAGACAGAACTCCTGACCACCCTGGGGGCCCGATAACAGGAAATCTTCTGTGCTTCTGAGGCCACCTCCCATTTAGCAATCCTACTTCCCCTCAGCCCCGGCCCTTACCCCATATCTCTGCATACCTTTGAAATTACTGGTGAAATTACTATGTGTGTTTGAAATTAACCAATAACCCCGCTTCTGCTTCTGTACCCTGCTTCTGCCTTATAAAAACCCCCTGAACTCAACCTGGGGCCGCGCAAGTCCTCCGAGGAGACTCTGTGCCCACAGGTACCTGTGTCCTAAATAAACCTCTTGCTGTTGCAACCCAAAGGC